CATGGTAATAAAATAGTGTCTGTAGACGTCTTTTTATTGTTATTCTGAGATGGATGCAATCAACTGATAGTCAGTATCTATATTATTTAATATTTGACCGCCATGTCTCTGGAACATTTGTTATGACTTTCCCGGAAAACTAATATCCCGGAAGACCTTAAGTTGGGTTAAAAATTAGTCGACTGCTAAGGTAGACAATTCAAAAAAGTTGCTGCTTCTCATTTTGAGAATACCTCAGTTAATAACGGCTTTCAAAGACCAACCACTGACGTCACACGCTTGTTTTAAGTTCAAATAAATCAATCATATCTACAGTATACGGTAAATGATGTCATTAGCTATGTGCTTGATTGATACTATAGAATGATTGATAACAATATTTTCTATTATGTATGAATTGTCATAAATTTAATTGTTTGTACATATTGTATGACAATGATTAGCAATAATTATTTGTACACATTTGCTATATAAAAGTACAATATTCGACAAAAACCTCGTTACCACAAAATCGCTACATACTATCTCCGATTTCTTTCGGCGACGCTGATTGGTCGGTCGAATCGGAGAGCCTTTCCGATTTTGTCGGGTGGGGGCCAGCTACGAGCAACGATTGCGGTGAAAACGCCGCAGCTACAGTGTATCGAACAATACTAAACAAAATAATGACTCCATGCGTAAGCCTATTAATGATGATGATGATGATGATGATGACCACCATCATCATCATCACCATCATCATCATTATAATGGTCATCATCATTACCATAATGATGATCATCATGATCATTATTATCATCATTGTCGTCGCCATAAATATCATCATCCACTAGCCTTTTTCTTCGTCTTCATTTTCTTCTTTATTTGCTCTTATAACGCCCTTTTCGCAATCAGACGTTGTAGTCGTTACTATGTATGTTTCTACTGTACGTTAATGTTTTTTGTACTGTGTAAAATTGCCAAGGTATAGACCTTTATACAATAACCAATAATATGGTCAGTGTGCTCCTCTAAAACGCTAATCCAGTTTAGATTTCGATTGTAATTACTCAGAAATGAATCGTGAGTGTAGGAAAAAGTTACAGTTAATGGATTCATTCTTGGATGAGTAACTTAGCTAATGCGAATTGAATGATGTGGCAACAACCAACGATCCGTAAGGCACAGTTAAAGACTTTTATTTCCGAAATATTGCCTTGCTGTCGTATCGTTATTACACCACCATCGTATCAATATAATCTTCTTTGTTTATTTACACTATAGCTGATTTTGTTTGCTAGTCTTGTACAAGGTGCTATGAAATCAACGAGAGTGAACACGTGATGGGGTAATTTACGATACGGTACCTAACATCTCGGTGTGTTGATGACAGCATTCTATCATTAGACTGCTGAATGATAATTAATATACTCACGACGATCACACCGATAGAGTAACAGTATATAGGCTGTCTCTTATACACATCTAGATGTGTTTAAGAGACAGGTGTATCTATAATATGTTTTTCCTTTTATACCGTATATCTTGGGAACATTGTTATGCTTATGACTTGGCCTATACCCCGACCCATTTGCAGTGGTTATTCTCCATCTTCAAACGCCAGAGTGTTCCGGTGGGTGATTCTGAGGTATCGTCAGTTACTAATGTAAATACTTGATTTGTGCGTACGTAAAACCGTGCTGTAATCTGATCTAAAAGCATGGCATGACATACAGTACACATGACATGCTTATGGGGTACCCCGCGATGCCTCCCCAGAATGGCGCCCATTCCTGAATTAGATATGTGTATAGGGCCAAGTGTCTTTCTTCACGTATAGACACTCCAATATCATTTATTTTTTTGATATGTATGGTTTCAATTTAATATTGGCAATATATTTTATGCATCCTATATATTTGTATAATCACATAATGGTAAAAACACTGAAAATGATTTGGACAAGACAAAATCACGAAACACTGGTGTATGTTTTGAAATACAGACATATTATATTTTTTGTTCGCGGGCACATTAGCTTCTGTCGCTGATTTTGTCTTTGTTATATTTATTTGGAACACGTATATCGTGCAGCTCATCATTATATTGATGATTTCTGATGATGCTCCAATAACCATTGTGTCGGTTCAGTCGGAATTACAATATGCAATTTCATACTTTTCTGTACACTTATTCTTTATATAAAATCTAAATGTAAGTTTTTTTTCCCGTTACGATTACAATTTTCGTCAATAACTAATTGAGTAAATAAATACAAATTCGGTTAAAAATCGGGTACATTCTTGGTAATATTTAAGATATTTAATTAATATGATGATAAATAACATCGGATTGTTTTTATTCGAAAGAGAAAAATCTACTGTATAAGTTATGTACCTGCATAATATAATACAAGATTTATTTTTCAGAATAGGCCCTACTAATTATAGTCCGCCTTACTTATAAATTCATATCTGTTTTTTTGGAAACAATAAAAAACGATTATGAATATATACACGTGATGCATGCATTCATTGTGCGCAGTAAATATTCTTAGTAATTTATATTATATGCTAATATTTGCCCCTGAGCATTAGACGTTTGGTTGGGATTTGTGTAAATGAAATGCATCAAGCATTATTCCCCTTTGACAGGGTAAACGAACGCATTAGCCATTGCGAGCAGATAAGCTGCTTAAAGTGCATCCAAAAATACTATAAAGTCAATACACAAAAAATCCACAGTTTTCTTAAGATTGCACGTGATATATTATATGCCACTGTATGTGAAAGCTTGTATGGAAAAAAACGAAGTTAGTTTCAGTGTATCTCTCCGTTAATATTTCAGAGAATAACGCTAATACGGGTCTCCTGAAGTCATCTTGTAATGGTTGTAGAAATGGAAGTTGGTCATAATCGTATTTTATGGAGGCTGTTAAAATTCCTCTAAGGCTTTTATACGACAATTTACTAAGCGATACTTGAATTAGATACCGTTCCGAATACCCATCAACAAGACTGGCACAAACTTTAATTGTGCTTAATAATAATAATAATAATGATAAGTATTATTATTGCTGTAATATTATTAATTATTTAATTATTAATATATTACTTAATTATTATTTTTATTACTATTGTTATTATTTATATTATTATTATTATTAGGACTATTATTTTTAAGAAGTAAATTTAATTTCAATATGCATTCTGTATCTTGGAAAATACAAAAATAGGCTAAGTTAAAATTAAGTTGTCTTATAATGGTTGTAGAAATAGAAGTTGGTCATAATCGTATTTTATAGAGGCTGTTAAAATTCCTCTAACGTTTTTATACGACAATACTCGATTAGCTAGCGTTGCGAACACCCATCAACAAGATTGGCACAAATGATTTAATTTTGCTTATTAGTATTATTTTGGTTATTATTATTATTAATTATTATTATTATTATTATTATTATTGCTATTGTTATTATTATTATATTATTATTATTGTTATTATTATTATTATTTTATCATTTTTATTTTTACTACTACTACTATAATAATAATAATAATAATAATAACAAAATAATAGTAAAAAAAAATCAAATTTTTATATATTACTATTATTTTATTATCATTATTATCATTATTATTATTTTCAAAAATTAATTTAATTTCAGTAACAATGCTGTACCTTAGAAAATACAAATTAGGATAAGTAGAAATCACTTCTTGAAAATAATGTGCAAATTTTTTTTTTTCAGTTGGTAAAAAGGCATTCGGAAATTCTTGGTTTCGGTTTCAGATAAAAACAATAATATCTTTCTCAAAATATTGCCAAATGAAGTATCCCCGATAGGTTCTACTAAACCAAATTATTTTCATCATTATTCATACAAATAATTGCAAATCTGTAAAATACACGTTAGAGCAACTAACCATCACAACCATCATCATTTTATTGTCCTCTTTATAATATCATCAGCACCATTATTACAATAATGATCATTATCATACTCAGCATCATAATCATCATCACCGTGAATAATAATCATCCTAATCCTCGTTATCATGAATCACCGTGATCATTCTCATCATCATCATCATCATGATCCCTATTAGACTAAAAAAAGAAAAGTGCCGTATATATACATTAAATACACACCAATGATACAATGTCTTTTCAACTTTATTTCCCCTCGTTATTGCGTTGCATTCGTTAGGCTACAAGACACAGAATGCACACGTACATTAAACAAAAAAGAATAATTTAACTAACGAGGCCTATAAAAAGCAATAACAAGACTGAAGGTGCAAGTGTTATTTTGTTGGTTTGTTAATAAAAAATAAATTTTTAACGGCTTATTATTTTTATATATACGAAGCATAACTTGTACACAATAAAGTGAGTGCTAAGCAATTATTAGGCCTAGATTGGATAGGAGTATTTTTGATGTGAATCACACCCACAACTTCCATAGAATAAAAGGTTTACAAAATAAATTGTAAGGAAATGAAAGGAGTGAAAATTGATTGTAAAAATTGTTCTGTTGTGAAATGATAATCTTAAACAAACTTAAAAGTGGTCGAATATACATTGTTTTTTTTTTTAATATTTTGAATATGATGTTGATTTGATTTGTTATTCTGAAAATCGTTGGTATTATGTGTTTTGTTATTGAATAAATATGGCTTTGCCAGAAAAGAGAAAAAAGTCCATAGAATTGTTTCTAGTGGTTCATTATGATATTGAATCGAGCAGTACAGCCCCCTACTTTTTGCCTGTAGTGTACTGTGTTCTTTAACGTTCACACGGGCCATACTAAACACGGGACCAACGGATAAAACCCCATCATCATTATCGTAACTTTTTTTTTTATTGCAATTTCATTTCATACAAAACAGGACATAACAAAACAAAAAATATCTCTAAAGTCGGTAATAATGCTTAATTTCGGAAATTATTTAAGACAAGACAACATAAGTCAAAAAGGAAAAAATAAATTTGGGTACC